TGTCTATAAACCAAACTGAACGATTGTTGTTCTCTACTTAAAAAAACACTTTAGATTTTAAAATGGACAGAATTTCTCTCTTTTTTATATTTATTTAATTTAAAAATTCAATGTATAACATGGATGCATAAACTCATTTTATTTCAGTGTTAAATCTTTTTTAAGTAAATAATTTAAATTAAAAATGTCTCCAGACCTTTACTGGTTGATTATTTTCTTTATTTGCTCCCTGCAGATTTTTAATGGTTACCCCTGGCTTATAGAATGCGCCAGTCTCTTTATTTATTTATATTATTTACAACCAAGTTAAACGTGGGTAATAGTTTTCATGTATGTTTAGCACAGAGACAGAAGTGAAAAACATTTGCACTGATCTGCTCACCCTGCCTAGTCGGAGTCTCTCTATACGCAGAAAGAGTGACATGGAAAAAAATCGGATCAGAGATCAAAAAGTCGTACGCAGCCGATGTGTTTATGTTCCTTTATACTTTCCCTCCCAAACCTTTTGATCTGTCCTGTTAATGTTTCTCTTTCCGTCGCTGATTTCTAAAACCTGCAGCTGAAACACGAACAAAAATAATTATTCTGTTTTTTTTTCACTGCAAAAAAGGAAAATCTATACAAGTGTAATAAACTTGAATTCAGCATATTTGTCTTATTACAATGTATTTTCTTAGTAAGAATGAATATTGATAAAATTATTTGACTTGTTTTAAGAAAATCCATTTTTTTCCATCCTAACTAGATAATAAAACTAATTCTGAGCAGCTTTTTTCTTAAAATAGCTCACATTGCGGACTGAGTCGCGTTAACATTTAGACTGTGAGTAGATTTTTACTTGTTTGAAGACAATAAGACGATCCATATTAACCTGTTTTAAGAACTGACCTCATCTCATTAAGATATTCCAGCTAATCAAATCTGATTGCATTTAAATTGATCGGGTTATTGAGATTGTCATTCATGGTTTAGCTTTGAGATTCTGAACCTTAGCAGTGGACCATTCACTGTTTACAATACATCATAACTACTGTACATCATGCTTATTATAATAGAAGCTCTGCCTTAAAGGGGAACACCATTTTTTATACATTTGGCCCTTAATTTTACATTATTCCATCATGTTGTATAGATTTAGTGTCATTTGGAGCCGTTCTGAAGATATTCCGTGAGGTTATATCCAGTAACGTCTTCCTATGGGCAACGACTTGAAGGCACAAACTAAACTGTTCATCATTTATTCTTTATGGTACGCCGGCATTCAGAACATGGAGGCCAATCACTGTCCCCCAGACATCCACCGTTAGATTTCTTTATATTTTTATCTTTTGAAAACGAAGCGGCGCGTGTATGACGTCATCCTCGCACAGCGGCTACCATTCATTCATCCCGTCCGCTGAACTGCTGCTAGTTTTCCTCCCATGCCTGGAAGATGTCTAGTGCTACTACCACAGATGATCTTGCTCTCCAGATGAACGATTCAGATTAGCTAGAATGAATAGAAGAAGTACAGCGTAGCGATACTGCTACATCACTTTATTGTTTGGCCTGTGCAGCCCTCGGCTTTGTGTTTTTTTTTAGGTGTGTTTCGCTTAATTCTGTGACATTTCTGCTAAATTATTAATACAAAAAAAACGTTTTGAAGTTTTTGTGAAGGATATTTTTCCCATACATTTACTACACCTAAATAATGAAATTAATTCTAGATAAGAAAAACAGACTAGTTTAAAGCCTTTAAATGAACTGGTATCAAATACACTTGCCTGTATGCTTGTTTTGAGCAATAATTGGTTAGAGGCAGTGTTGGGAAAGTTCTCTTTCTACAGGTGCTGGTCATAAAATTAGAATATCATGAGAAAGTAGATTGATTTCAGTAATTCCATTTAAAAAGTGAAACTTGTATATTATATTCATACATTACATACAAACTCATATATTTCAGATGTTTATTTTGTTTAATTTTGATGATTATAAATGACAACAAATGAAAATCTCAAATTCATCATATCAGAAAATTAGAATATTGTGAAAAGGTTCAAAATTGATGGCCCCTGGTGCCACACTCTAATCAGCTAATTAACTCAAACCACCTGCAAAAGCCTTTAAATGGTCTTTCAGTCTAGTTCTATAGGCTACACAATCATGGGGAAGACTGCTGACTTGACAGTTGTCCAAAAGACGACCATCGACACCTTGCACAAGGAGGGCAAGACACAAAAGGTCATCGCTAAAGAGGCTGGCTGTTCACAGAGCTCAGTGTCCAAGCACATTAATAGAGAGGCGAAGGGAAGGAAAAGATGTGGTCGAAAAAAGTGTACAAGCAAGAGAGATAACCGCACCCTGGAGAGGATTGTGAAACAAAACCCATTCAAAAATGTGGGGGAGATTCACAAAGAGTGGACTGCAGCTGGAGTGAGTGCTTCAAGAACCACCACACACAGACGTATGAAAGACATGGGTTTCTGCTGTCGCATTCCTTGTGTCAAGCCACTCTTGAACCACAGACAGCGTCAGAAGCGTCTTGCCTGGGCTAAAGAGAAACAGGACTGGACTGCTGGTGAGTGGTCCAAAGTCATGTTCTCTGATGAAAGTAAATTTTGCATTTCCTTTGGAAATCAAGGTCCCAGAGTCTGGAGGAAAAGAAGAGAGGCACTTCATCCACGTTGCTTGAAGTCCAGTGTAAAGTTTCCACAGTCAGTGATGGTTTGGGGTGCCATGTCATCTGCTGGTGTTGGTCCATTGTGTTTTCTGAGGTCCAGGGTCAACGCAGCCACATACCAGGAAGTTTTAGAGCACTTCATGCTTCCTGCAGCTGACCAACTTTTTGGAGATGCAGATTTCATTTTCCAACAGGACTTGGCACCTGCACACAGTGCCAAAGCTACCAGTACCTGGTTGAAGGACCATGGTATCCCTGTTCTTAATTGGCCAGCAAACTCTCCTGACCTTAACCCCATAGAAAATCTATGGGGTATTGTGAAGAAGAAGATGCAATACACCAGACCCAACAATTCAGAAGAGCTAAAAGCCACTATTAGAGCAACCTGGGCTATCATAACACCTGAGCAGTGCCACAGACTGATCGACTCCATGCCACGCCGCATTGCTGCAGTAATACAGGCCAAAGGAGGCCCAACTAAATACTGAGTGCTGTACATGCTCATACTTTTCATGTTCATACTTTTCAGTTGGCCAACATTTCTATAAATCCTTTGTTTTTATTGGTCTTCAGTAATATTCTAATTTTCTGATATGATGAATTTGAGATTTTCATTTGTTGTCATTTGTAATCATCAAAATTAAACAAAATAAACATCTGAAATATATGAGTTTGTATGTAATGTATGAATATAATATACAAGTTTCACTTTTTAAATGGAATTACTGAAATCAATCTACTTTTTCATGATATTCTAATTTTATGACCAGCACCTGTATACGTGAACTAGTTCAAAGTTCAGTTCACATATTTTAAAATGAACTAGTTCAGTTCATAATTCATAATTCAAAATTTTGAACTAAGTTCACAGTTCCAAAAAATGAACTAGTTCATAGTTCTTTTTTTTTTTTCATATATTGCTCAATTACACCATAGCCTACTGTAGAACCACAGACAGCAATTATTTTATCAGTTGTAACTCTGAAACTGTGCGTCAGATTTCATCTTCATATCCAGTTTTGAATCCTTATCCAACCAGGGTTTACATTAGCATTGAGGGGACAGCATTTCCCCATTGTTCCTTTAATGCTTTGTTGCTGTCCATTCACTTCACACTAGTAGCAGCTACAGCTTTCACCCCTACAGTATATTCTCAAAAAACATCAGGAAAAATGTGCTGCTTGAATGGTCTTTTTTATGAGGAATTATTAAAAGAAAAACAGGAAAGTAGTCTTTAAGGCGCAAAAGTTTTTTTTATTTTAATAATTTTTCAATTTGAAATTCCATTTCAGTACATACTAGAAAGGAATCCTGGACAATTATACCAGGCAGGTTTAACTAACAAGTTACATGAATAGTAAAACCCTCAAGAACATTTTACTAACACAAACTGAGGGACCAGGCTGAGGTAGGAATTTAAGGTTACTGAAGTGCGGATTTTTTTCCTGAAAGCCGGCGGGCAAAGTTTGCAGAGAAATGTAAGATTGTTGCCATCGTCCTCAACGACCACCTATTCATAAAACTGTTTTAAGTGATCATACTGCTGCTTTGTCGCATCCACGGTCGCCTCCATGCTGCTGTGGCTTCCACGCTGCATTTTGTTTTGATGACGCACGCGGCTGTAGGCTACGACGCTGGTAGCTGGTGTTGCCAGATTGGGTGTTTTTCCCGCTACATATTAAGGCCTGTTTACGGTGTGATTTAGCCGGGGTTTCGCCTGGAGGGCTCTAGAGAAATCTGGCAACCTATTGAACGGAGTTGAACTGAGAGAGCGTGCCGTTCACAGACACCAGAATGAACGAGTTCACAATAACGTTCATCAGGCAGTAATGCAATACGTTCAGTTCACGTTCGCCCAAAATATGAACGAGTTCATGAACTTTCGTTCTTTGAACGCGTTCAGGCACAACACTGGTTAGAGGATATTTAATTCTAAGCAATAATGAATAATAAATGAGAATACATTGTTTAAAATAAGAGAAAAAATCTTAAGTTAAAGAAAAATAGATTTTTATACTTGATTTAAGTTTTTATGGATGCTTACTACTTGGATATTATGTTCTTGTTTTAAGAAAGTCTCATTTGCTTGCTGCACTTGCCGATTATTTTGCTCAAAATAAGCAACTTTTCACTTAAAACACTTTATTTTTTTCTTATTTTTTAGAAGGCTTTTTTTGTTGTGTTTGCTTTGCTTCTGTTAATCCATGCAGTTTCTTACTGATTCATTCCTCCATCAAGGCCTTTTCGTCTGATAGCTTCTGTTAAAGTACCGTATCAAAGCAAACTTAGATATCTCTGTTGTGAAAGCTTTATCCGAATTGTCACTATGGAATCGTCCTAC